AGGGTGCTAAGTGTTGAAAGAGTAATTGGTCTCTTTAAAGAAGATATTGAGAGTCACACAATTACCATTAGCTCTTTCAGTATCAAGAACCGTTTTCTAGCTAATTACGTACTACTAGTACAATAACCTAATCACTTCCTTACACGTGTCTTTTAAGTGTATAGAAAAAGATGAAAGTTTGAAGCTATATTTCTTGCATATTGAAAATGACGCCGTTTTTATACTCCCAACTCAGAACCAACCCTAAAAAAAACACACTTTATATTCAGTTTCAAAGTTACGATCTGGTTATGAATTTGTTTATCTTTTTTTTTTTTAATATTGTTGGAAAGCCCTGAGAGATGGAACCGAGACGGAACTACCTTGCTCTCCGTCGATTCTTCGAACCGTCCAAGTGCAGATTTTATCCTTACGCTACAGGGTCAGCTTCTAAGTTTGCTTATTAGGTTTTTTTTGCTCAGGTCACAAACTCAGAGAATGTTTTGACTTGTTTTAGTTTTTGTAGGAGAGGAGGCTCTTGTAAGGAAGCCATGAAAGAAGAGCTTGTGAAACTCGGAGCTGAGCTCTCTGTCTATGTAGCTGAATCCATGTTCTGTCTCTGTGATGACATTCCTACTATGTTAGAGTTCTGTTTTGAGTTATGGTACCTGACCAGAATCCTGTTTCAGAAAGGTTGCTTCATGTTATTCATTATGTCTACTCAAAACATATCCAACCCAAGAATTGTGTTTATGTTGAGCACCATTGCGAATCGGTCCAATGGGAACTGATCAGGAAGGATTTTGCTGAAGGGATCTTAGTTTTTCATCGCCTTGAATCCATTCTCAGAAAAAAAGATTGCTCTTTTGATGATCGGCTATTATCGTCCGCTATTGCAAAATACAAGCAAGTGCTGAAGAAGGTGGAGGATAAATTGAGGTCCGCAAAACATGTTTCAGTGGCCAACGGGTTTGCGAGGGAGATGGTAGAGCCTAAGATCTATGGCTTGTGGAAGTCTTTCTTTGATGAAGAAGAAGAAGCAATACCGGAAGTGATAAGGACTAAGATTCTTAGCGACCTGTTTGAGCCTTTTTTGAACAAACCAAAGCGTGGAGAGATTCTGGCATTGTCCCTATCTTCTCCTTACATTTTAGGGTCAGTACCTTTGAGAGTTTTGCTTACTCACTCAGGTTACAAAGTCTTCATATTGACTAATTTTTTCAATTGGTTTTGTTTTTGCAGGGAGAGTTTTGCAATGCAGGAGCTGAAAGAGGAGGTTGTGCAACTAGGAGTTGAGCTCTCGCTACTTGTGGCAAGATCCATGTTCTCGCTGTGTGATAACATTCCTAGTGTGTTACATTTCTGCTTTGTGTTATACAGAGATGTAAACAGGGACCGGAATCTTGGTAGTGCCGTGGAGGACAGGTTGCTTCGTGTTATTTATTATGTCTACTCAAAATATATCAAGCCCATGAATCAGAATGCTGGGAAATCGGTCCAACGGAATCTGATCTCGACGACTTTGGAGAATTTAGTCGTTGGATTTGCAAACCTGAATCGCCTTGTCGTCCACGTTAGAGTATGTCTAGTATTGAAGTAGAGCTGAACAAAGTAGAGGAGAAGTTGAGGTGTGCCGACGTGAATGGGTTTGCGAGAGAAGCGCTAAAGTCTTAACATTTTGGACTTGTGGAAATCTGTTTATGACAAAGAAGCTAAGGAAGCAAGACTAACTCTAAAAGAGATAAAGACTGAAATTATTCACGACTTGTTTCTCCCTATATGCCAAGGAGCAGCACCACCACCTTAGCTACTAGTTGCTTCGTCTATCTAATTTCAATGTCGAATGCTTCTACAGAGACATTTGCTGTGAGATTTATCAACCAACGCAACAAGTAGAAAGCAAACAGAATCGTTGCACAAACTTTTGAAGATTTATTTTTACAAAAGAGGATATAATCAAATATAATCAAAGCAACAATGTTTCAAAATTCGGGGTTCTTGAAACTTGAAGCAGCCATGTAAATGATACACTTGAAGAAATATGATCTGTAAAGAAAGCTATACAAGTTACATTGCATGTTTTCGTTTGGTTGCTGCATTTCTCGAAGTTGAAGGAGCAGTCCGAAGAAGACCGTTGATCCTCTTTGGAGGTAGACTTCTTTCCCCACTAGAGTTGCTTCTTGAAGTTGAAGGCATGTTCGTGGACAGGCCAGTCCTCTTAGGAGCAGAAATACTAGACAAGACAGAATTTAGTCAACGGAGTTAGATTACCAATCAATGGTTTAGAGGATAAAGAAAGGTGGATCGATAGCTAGTCACAGAGATACCCGGAGTCAGATTTTGTTACCTGAAACTCTTCTGAATTGTGTTCCCTTTAATTGCTGTAAGATTTTTCACTTCTTCACCACGATATGTGCTCCTTGAAGTTGAAGGCACACTCGCAGATAAGGCGGTCCTCTTTGGAGCAGATATACTAGACAAGACAGAATAACGGATCAATTGTTTGGAAGATAAAGAGTGTTGATCGATAGATTGGAAACCTGAGATGAATTTTGTTACCTGAAACTCTTCTGAATCGTGTTCCTTTTAATTGCAGTGAGATTTTTCACTTCTTGACTGTAATCAATACCATAAGAAAATGGGAATTAATAGATTGTCGATAGTGAGACTTTATAAGCATCCACGAGACCTCTGACTACCATAACTTAGGGTTAATACCTAAATATACTGCTTAAGAGAGTAAAATGAACATATTTACATTGATAAGCCTTGTGATTGTACATTTTAAGTTGAATGATCGTTTACCTCTTATAAAGATCTAGTTTTGCCTTCTTCATGATGTTGCTCTTGACATTCGAAAGGTTGTAACCTGATACACTATTACCTGCAAATAAATTGTTCCATAAAACCATCTGAGTACGAAAGCCAGAAGGACAAAGCCAATTCATGAATGAAGCATTTGCATAATTATCTTCGCAAGATTTGACAAGATGCAAAATAATCGTATAGAAGTGTTACCCCAGAATGGTTTTTTGCTTGGAGGAGCTTTCGAACAGAGCTTAGTTTGTCGACTTAGTTTCCCTGACAAAATAATTGAGAACGATTACAAGGGAATGAAAGACAAACAAAATTTTGTCTAAGAACATGCTTCTAAAGATTGATCTAATGGTCAAAAATAAAAAGATTAGATTTGCAAAAATCTTACTTGCATCTTCCTTCTTGTAACGTTGCTTCAGTCGATCAACAGCTTCCTCCTCAGCTTCTTGCACGGCTATTAGCTTTGCCTGCGTGCAACCACATACATATATCTTAAGTACTTTCGAGGCTTATATATGTATTTAAATCAATACTTAAGAAAACAAACCAACCTCATATAACTCTCGCCACTTGAAATCTACTTTATTCCGCTTCATCTTCTCCATGACAGCATTCAAGTTCATTAAACCATACTGTTTCTCATAGAATCTCTTCCAAAATTTATCAGTGACAGGACTAAGATCTGTATCCTAACAAACAAAAGCATAACCAAAGTTAGGAAACACATCAAAACATACAAAAGATTTTACAGTGCATATGGTGAGAATCTACTTACATCAGTAGCATCCTCTATATGCTTCAGCTGTTCTAATGTACAATGTTGCAGAATCTGCTCTAGTAGCTGAAAATCAACACCACCAACATATCCAATGTATCTTACATTATCAATCGCTGTCCTAACGCAAAGATCAAGAAGTGAAGGTGGTTGCTTTGTAATCCCCTCAAACAACATAGCAGCTTCTCTTTTCAAGATCCCAAAATCACAAGAAGACACGGTAGAGAGACTATGTCGGAGCTACTGCGATCCAAATCTAAAATCAGAGGTTCCAAATCAATCAAATAACAATTTGAATAATCCAATTCCAAATTCGAAAAAATAGTAGATGCAGAAGGAGATTACCACTAGGGTTAATAACAAAAGAGAAGCCGATCGGTCCAAAAATTTCCTCGACGATCGAAGAAACGTTTCTTGTTCTTCTTCCCGGAAGAAGACGACAGGGCCGGTAAACAAACACCGGAGCTTTTTTTGTTCGTTTGTTTTCCTTTTTAATCGTTTACCAAACAAAC